ATAGAATTGCGTAACATTTACTGCACTCTATCTCCCCTCGCCCACATTTGGGCGCAGGTGGTTGGTGCGACCAAAACCACTCCCACGCGCCTCCTTCACGCGGCCCGTTTAGGGAGCCACCTTCCACTCTGACGAGGCGCATATCTAGTTCTTTGCTGGGAATATCGATTTTTAGAGTCAACCGAAGCATTCTGCGCGTTCAATCTGTTGAGTGTGCGGGTTTGGAGGAGGTATAGGCTTTCCGTAAGCGTATACTCCTCATCCTGCGATTGGTCATGGCTCATGTTGTGGCTTTACAAAAACTGAATTTAACGAAAAAAATATGCTGACAGCACTTAATTCGTTGGACTGCATTTTTTGGTCGAGTAAGACATTTTTTCTAAGGAGAATGGAGGAGATTTGGTGCTTTCACGCGTTTGAGGTGTTTCATCAAAGCCCATTATCTTTTTCCGTGAGGTTAAATATCCCGTCTTTCACATTCTCTTTGCTGTTTACGGCCTACTAAAATTCAGTGCTTTAAAACGGAACAGTTAAATTTCAAAAAGACAGCAGTTTAGAAGTATTTAAAAGTGTTTGCTTGAAGACCTCAAGTGCACACCAGAAGGCAAGTTAAGAATTTGGCAAATGAAAGAGTTACTGAACATTGCAAACCCGACGTTTAATAGTGAATTTCACAAAGACTTAGGTTTCTAGGCTAGTGACAACATTTTTTTTGCAGTCCTTGATAAAACAACTGGTTAATTATGAAGTGACATTGCAAAATTGGAAAACAGATGATAATTAAGGGTAGTTCCATTCGAGTTAGATAGGATTATGAAGTCGAAAATATCCTCTAGTGAACGACTGCTCGAGGGTGTATGTGGTTATTTACTATAGATGTCAGTATTACAGTCACCATTAAGCCATGCTTTCCATTTGAAATCACATCTAAGGGCTGCAGTCATATTGCAAACTGGTGCGGAATTCGCAAGGCCATGTGTAAAAGTCGTTAAGCGCAAGCAAGCACAGTTATCCACGATGTCTTGTTCTGATCTCTCTTAAAAAGAATCATCCTTGACTGTGCAATCGGGGAAAATAAAGTTAACGGTTTGGGGCTGAATTAGGGGAAGAATATGTTTCCGATGTTCCTTACTTTGATAAGCCGAAAGTGTCCCGGGGTTGAGGTTGTTAAGCAGCTTTGCACTATTTTTGTCAAATTCAATGATCATAGCAACTGAGTGTCGGGCAGTCTCTGGGTATGGAATGTGAACTGATCCTTGCTTGGTGAGAAATATTTGGTGGACTCGAATTTATCTTCAGCGACTGAGATGCATCACTGAACGGACTTACAACACTCCTTAACTCACATGCTCAGTCCCGAGAAGACCTTTCCAAGTAATTGGGTGAGGACTGCCTTGCCTAAGCGCCCAGCTTCAATTTGCATTCATTTTTAAATGTACATGTGGATACAAGCAAACTGGAAAGACGCAAAGGCAACTGGCGGTCAAGTCATTTGAACACTTGCCTTAATGGCTTCTAAAGGCAAATGGCTCGGAAATGGTGAAGCTTGGCAACAGCCTGCATATGGAAGAAAAATCATGCGGAGACATTTCTCGGCGTCAGTTTTATTGATAAGGTTGTTTTCTAGACGGCGAATTTGCTGTTTTGATATTGATCTTCTGAACAGAATCGATCTAATCTGATTGATGTATCTGATATACATCAAATAAATGTACCAGTATATCAGTTGCGGTACAGTCTTTTGTGGGCAAACCGATAAGATTACTTATGGGCATATCCTGCATGTAAGAAGTAAATTCCTAGAGTAGGTTACGCGAATAACTAAAGGGTATACAACACTACTTGCCGAAATTGAATCGCTTAAACTCACACCATTATTTCAAATTAATTGATGTATCTGATATACATTTAATAAATGTACCAGTATATCAGTTGCGGTACAGTCTTTTGTGGGCAAACCGGAAGAGCTCTATCCGCCTGCATACGTGAACACCAGTTAGCGGTGAGGAGACGAGACTCCCTATCGGAGGTTACCATGCGCACACTGGACAAAGGACACACATTTGCATGAGAGCAAACCCAAATCGTTGGCGCCTGCCCAACTAGGAAGGGCCGCGAATTCATGAAGGCAATGCACTAAGACGAGGTATGCATTAACAGGAATATCGATTTGGACGTGAACTACAAATCGCTCAAGATCAGATGGAAGCCAAAACAGCCGCCACCGACAGCATAATAAAGTGCGGGTAACAACTATCCACCCCCCTCCTGATCGCATGTGGATGACAGTCATTTTTCCGCACGATTAAATGCGGATGACGATTATACTCTCACATGTTGACCCACTGTAGAATCTTGTGTTAGTCATCGTTTTGAGTTAACTGCTTTTTTGCAACACTCATTTGTCTGATGACGAACTGGGGAATCAGAGTCGAAACTTAACACAATAAACATTATTCTTTCGTAAAGGACTTTATCGTTAACAATATTCAGTACACACTGTTCACGTTATAAAACGACAGGAAACAATTGATGAGCCGTCGTAAAGAGTCCTCGCACCAAAAATGCTGAGGCTTATGCTGGTTTTTAAAATCATGCGGAGACTAAATGCATTATTTTTCAGTTTTAATAGTTGAATCCAACTTTTCTCCGAGGGAGGGGGGGGGAAAGTGACTGCTCGGCTTAGATTAGGTTATTGGATGGAGTTAGGATTACACTTTCGGTGAGGAATAGGACTAGAAGAACCGAATGATTAGGGGAGGTTCAGTTGTAGTTTTTGGACAATGATTAGGTTCGTGTTTAGGTTAAATGCACTAAAAGTCCCAGCCCTATCCTTCATAATCCTATAGGTTACGTAAAGCTACACGCGCATACTGGCCTAAAGTAAAGTAGGACCCGCCAACGAACACTCCGTCTGGCGATATGCAGAATTGCTTCTTACGTTTCGACCCGATATGAGGAATTAGCCAAGGGTTCGCATAATTTTCTCCTACCGATTCGCGACCAAGTATGTTTGTTTGTGCACGGAGTGCCTCGCTTCGTCCCCCTCAGATGTACCTGGGTTCGAGTCGGTATTGTGGTAGTGGTGCCACTTAGGTCTCCCAAAGGAGCGTACTACTGCGTCACATAAACGTAGCACAACATGAAGTACCAGAAAGACGGAGGCAATACACCAAATCAAAGAACTAAATTTCGCTTGGTAGTCTGCAGCTGACAGAAGGCTATCAGCTAATATACTGTAAGCCTACAGTACTGAGTTGGCTGGAGAAGAGTCCGCGAAGTCTAAAAACTCAAAAAGGATCAAGAGGAACTGAATTTTTATGGAAATCTGGGAGACCTGGCTATCTACATAATAAGAGCTCAAAGCCAAGGCTAAGTTGTGCGCGACAGTCTGCCTGGTGGAGCGTGCTATTGGCTCCTGCCCTGTTGGGTGTTTTTTAGAATCCGGCCTGGAAATCAGCAATATCAGGAACCAGGTGTGTGTTCGACTGTTCTCTCAAACTCCAAAACGGTCGAGAAACAACATGATAGCCCATGACATAATGTTTTGAAAACTCCAAGTCATTATTACGGAAAAACTGAGTTTACTCATAGTATCCTTTTTACGCTGGCTAGTATTCCACGCAGTCAGCTTCAAGAAGACGTTTATAGAAAATTGATTGGACCCGGTTGTGAAACATCCGGTGGGATTCGAACCGAAGCCAGCAAGTGGCAGGCTTTGGTAAAGCTAACGCTCTAGCCAACTGAGGTACGGAAGAGCTGAACCAAGTCTCGCCGACTTGAACTAATCAATTTTTACCAGAGCACTGTAGTCAATGGCCAGGGGCTATAACCTGCGCGTTCTAACATACAACGGGGACGCGCTCATGTGGACATTCCAAGCAGCCTTCTTATGAGCGATCCCTTATTTAACGGCCCGGACCCCGTTTTGACATTGTAACGTGGATGAAGTGGAAAGCGCAAGTAACGTTACGGATGCGTAAAACATCGCAATCATC